GAACCAGTTCAACTCCCTGCAACATGTTGGATGGTATGGCTCTGCCTACATGCTCAGTGTAAGACCCAAACTCTCATAAATCGTACCATTCTCACTAACAAATACGAAGCTTTGCTCATTCCAACTGGTCTACGGAAAATGCTTTGAGCTCTTTTCTCTCAAGTGGACCTTCATGGTAGCCATCGCATTCAGAGAAATCGGGCTGGCTGTCTGCGGAAGCGCCCCCAACTCGATTGCTTTCATTGTCGGACGAGCCATCACTGGGATTGGTTGCAGTGGCATCATCATCGGCGCCTGGGTGGTTCTCGCACACAGTGTACCCATTCGTCAACGTGCTGTCTACACTGGATATCTTGGCGCATTCTCAGGTGTTGGTGGCATCATCGGGCCCCTCATTTCGGGGGCGTTGACGGACAGCCATCTCTCCTGGAGATGGGCGTTCTACGTCAGCATACCAATCGGAGTTGCGACGTTGGCATTGATCTTCTTCTGCTTTCGACCACCGCAGCAACCCGACCAAGGACAACCCCGGACTCTCAAGCAGAAGCTCATGGAGTTTGACATTCTCGGGCTCTCAATATTCTTTGCTTGCATGATCTGCCTATTATTAGCCTTGCAATGGGGTGGGTCCCAGTTCGCTTGGAACAGCGCTCCGATGATTGGCTTGTTGGTTGCCTTTGGTGTTCTGCTCATCACTTTTATTGGTGTTGAAATCTGGAAAGGAGACAACGCCGCATTACCTCCTCGTCTCATGAGAATGCGGAATATTGCATTCGCTTGTTTTTACGCTGCATGCATCGATGCAGCCTACTACACAGCCGATATATGGCTGCCAATTTGGTTCCAGGCTATCAAGGGAGAGTCTGCCAGAGAATCCGGGATCAAGCTCGTTCCCTACGTTGGCGGAGAAGTTCTTGCCGCTCTAACCGCCGGCTACCTGGTCACTTACACAGGGTGGTATAACCCTTTCATGCTCGTAGCGACCGTGTTGGGGTCATTGGGTCTTGGCTTGATGACGACTTTCGAGCTCGATACCGGCCCAAGTAAATGGGTCACTTTCCCCGTCATCGCCGGCGTGGGAATTGGGCTGGGATCCCAGCAGCCGATGATGGGTGTCCAATCGACCCTCGCGCTTTCTGATATACCGGCTGGTACAGCCGCCGTCACTTTGTTCCAGAACCTTGGTCCGGCTATCTTGATGTCTGTCGCGAACACTGTCTTTGCTAATGGCTTAACGAAGCATCTGCATGGCACAGGAGGACTTGATGGACAAACAATTGCGGATATGGGGGCCACGAATCTCAAAGATTTGATTTCCAAGGATCTACTCCCGGTGGTCATTGAAGCATACAACAAAGCTCTCAAAGAAACTTTTACTGTGCCGATGGCTGTCGCAGTCATCTCCATCATCGGGGTTATAGGCATGAAATGGGAAAAACTGCCTGGGTAGGCATGTAGTCCGTCAAACTTCTCCAGCAACGCAGGCGAGATACTTGATCAATAAATGCATGAAATATGTCTTTGCTTCAGATTACTAAGATTTACTTCAAGATGCTTTGACGCGAATAATATCTTTGGCCTCTGAAGATCATGCGAGATATCCGATAATCAGCATGCAATACTTTGGGCGGGTCAGATTCACGATTGACAAACCAAAAAGATGTAAATACAGCGATCTTGTAAGGTACGAGACTTACAAATTTTTGCTGCAAGAAACATTCGAACGCTTGCATAAATTTGAGCCTCTATTAGGTTCGTTCAAAGTGCAATGCTCCGTTCTTCTATCTCCCTGTTGTTAGATGGCTAACATTAGGTTCGAATTCCGCCCTTTTGATGTAGACTCTAGGCCAAACACTTGAAGCCAACTACCTTATCTATTCAAAATTTAGGCCCTACCGAAGAAGCGTCTTGTTTTCTATATCCTGCGGAGGATGGTAGTCTATATACTGTGGTTAGCTACATGTCCAAACGCGGTTAGGCGAAAGATTGAGTCTTTCATACGAGGGGCCGCTCTGCAGCGTGGTGACTGGATGGAGATTTTCGTACTCAAGCCTAATCTCAACCAATCTCAGTCACACCCCTAGATTGCTATGGAGGATGTCAGATCTAGAGGATCAAATGGGACTTTGGTAGAGTGAGATGAAAGATATAACCAAAAAGAATTCTTCCTAGCGCCGAGTAGGATTCTAAGTAAGACTTCCAACAGAATGTTGCCAACGTAAACCAACACAAATCTGACAGGTGAGATACCCCTTTGGGAAAGATGGAGCACTTCGGCAGGGTTGATCCGCGCATTAACTGCCGTTGGTTCAATACGTATGTCATTAAGCAAACATGTTTGCTACTCAGTCACCAGAACAGGAATGCTCCCCGGCAATATTGCCTCATCCATGAGTGTTTCCGCCTGGATCAATGAGCCAATGGAAGAAAGAGGGCCAAGGTAATAAACCTGCTTATCTTCTTCAGCGGCCCTTTCTTCCTTGTCGAAATGGGTCACCCGTGCCCACATGCTCAGAAGAATATCACCTTTCTCCACAGTGTGGACTGTAGCCATCAAGAGGTGGCATGGTCTGGGGTATACAAGAAACGTATTTAAGATGTGTTCGGTCCGGCAAATGGGGATAGATTCAAGGCTGGAGATCTTGACCTCAATATCATCGACACTGTCAACATGGCTCCCCTCTTCCGAGCTGACCAGATCGGCTCACTCATTCGGCCCGCCTTCCTGCTCGAGGAGAGGGGTTCTCTAGGCTTTTATGACAGCAAGCTATCCGAAGACCAGGCTGCTGCCACATCTGCATCAATCAAGTACGCCGTTCAGAAGCAGCTGAAGCTTGAAATCAGACCCATCACCTCTGGAGAATATGAAAGAACCATCTTCTTCAGCGGCTTGTTTGAGAATCTTCAGGGAATGACAGTCAGAGACGATCTGAGGATTCCCCAAGACTTCCGACCCAACCTACCTACCTTCATCGGACTTGCTAAGATGGGGTACAATCACTTCTCCGCTGTGCCCGCCACAGGAAAGATCAAGTTCACGGATTCGGCTTACCTTCCTGCCTGGGAGATGATCAAGAAGGCAGTCCCTCAAGAACGCTGGAAGGACTGTAAGATGTCCATACCGTCCATCTCCTGGCAACACATGTACCTTGCAAAGGGCACAGCGTTTGACCTTGGCGTTTACGCTTCTGACAAGGACTATTTTCTCGACCTCGCGGCAGCATTTCGTTCGGAGATCCAAGCTCTTTATGATGCAGGTCTTAGATCGATACAGGTTGACGATCCAAATTTGACTTTCTTCGTCACAAAGGGCTTCAGGGAGGGTCTGAGGGGTGATGGCATCGACCCTGAGGCCCTGTTGGACCTCTACATTTGGGCACACAACCAGGTCTTGAGGGATTTACCACCCGACTTGCATGTGGGCATACATCTTTGCCGCGGCAACATGCCTGGCCAGCCTTCTTTCGCCAAAGGATCTTACGAAAGGATTGCCCCTAAGGTTTTCCCCAAACTCAACTACCACACGTTCTACCTAGAGTTTGATGATCCTCGAGTGTCTGGACACTTTGATCCCTTGAGATTTGTTCCGCAAGGGAAGAATGTAGTTCTTGGTCTCGTGTCGACAAAGGTGGCAGACCTTGAGACCAAGGAGGCATTGATCAAGAGGGTTTATGAGGCTGCTGAAGTCATGGCAAAGGCGCAAAGACGGGACGTCTCGGAAGTTCTAGCAGACTCACTCGCTGTGAGCCCTCAGTGCGGCTTTGCTAGCTTCAGTGTCAACCAAGGCGTAACCACTGAGGATAGAATGTGGGAAAAACTTGTCCTTGTCAGAGATGTGGCGAGGTCTATTTGGAAAGATGCCGTTTAATGGGGGCGCCCGCTCCGAGTTAGTTCTGGAATTATATCGAATGCAGCCATTTCCCGACTTTATCTAAGTAGTACTACTTGTAAACTGTAACTAAGTTTATTCCGCCATGGTTTTAACTGCGATAAACCTTGGCATACAGCGTGAAAAGTTCAGAGACGTTAAGCACTCGACCCAGCAGTGGAAACCCGTAACGGAACGTTAGGTACCGGCACAGGAAAGAAAAGATTATGATGATAGTCTTGTCAACTCAGGTTCAAGTGCTTTCGTGTCTGAAACCTTACTTTACTTGTAGCACAAAACAATGTTTCTGGCCCAGAATCTCGGGGCGTAGCTTGGTCCATAATGATTCTGGATCGGAGGCGGCGTTCCAAACAAGCGCCGAGGCCGAGATGGCAGGTGGGCCGCGCAACCAAGTCCCGGACAGCAACTTGGTTGATCGTCGTACCACGCAATTCATCTCTCACTTGGGGTATCTGCAGTCCTAGTTAGGGACAATTGGTTCTTAGATGCTCCTATCATTGAGAAAACCGAAACCGAGCAAGATGGGCCAGCAAGAAGAGGAAGCTGGTGGACCACAACGCAGATCAGCGCTTGAAGAGGTCAAGCCTGCCTACCCACTACGCAGTCCTCGGTTTGCTCGTTGAAAGCCATATCTGGCTAACACATCGCTAAGCGTCATGGCAATGTATAAATCGCTGATGTTATCAGGTGTTGAGAGGAGTCGTCTTGCTAGACTGGCCGAGAGACCGAAGATGCGACACATATCATTGAAGAAAAGCTGCTGGCCTGGGCCCTGGCCCTCGGTATGGGTTTGAGCACTGAAGCGACTGACTTGAGGTTGATTGAGCGTTTTCAATGAAACAAATGAAACAGGATGACCTAATCTCCATTAACGTCGCAAGCATGTCCAATGTCGAAGTGCCTACGTTTTCAGTAGAAGTTGAACTTGAAATTGATGGAACGCTATGATGAAATAGCAGCAAGAACAAACATTATGTAAACACAATGAATTGGCAGGGATAAGGGCCCCACCATAGCTGCGCGAAAACCTACAGGGATACTGACCTTTACGGGTACTTGCCCCGCGCGCGCATCGAAGCTCCCCACCAAAACTCAAAGCTGTCGCGATTAACTTCAAGAAAGCTCCGACGTCACTCTGCTATTTCCCGCGCCTTTCCATTTTCTCGACGTTTCTTCGCCGACCACGAACAATGGCGACGATTGGAACTCTCCAGCGCATCAGTGCTGCCAAACTCTCCGCGCTGCTGTTAGCAGAACAGGCTGCAGGCACTTCGTCTGTGGCCGTCGTGGACGTTCGCGACGATGGTTAGCCTTTTCCTTGACCTCAACTACCTAGGTAAACCGCTTGGGTGCACTGCTAACCTGTATTCGTTTCATAGACTACCTCGGCGGTCATATAAAAGGCTGCATAAACATGCCCTCCAGAAGTCTCGATGCCACAATGCCCACCCTCATGCGCCGCCTCGAAGGCAAGAAGACGGTCGTTTTTCACTGCGCTCTGTCGCAGCAACGCGGACCCAGTGCTGCCCTTCGATATCTCCGAGAGCGCGATCAGAGTCTCGCCTCTTCTACTACTACTACTACTACTACTGACTCGGCGGAGGACTCGGCATCTGCGGAGCCCCAGACAGTATATGTTCTCGATCGCGGATTCGTCGGCTGGCAGGAAAAGTACGGCGAGGACGAACGATTGACTGAGGGATATAGCAAGGAACTCTGGAAAGATGGCTACTGGATGTAAGCTTCTACAACCTAGACTTGATGCTTTCGAGTCACTGCGCTTCTAGCCAAAATATCGTCATGCCCGATGGCCCAATGGGTACTTGCTCGGCCTTTCGAGTGCGACTCCATTTCCAATGGCTCCAGTCGCAATGCCGTGTTACAGTTGCAACGTTGATGTGTACCCTGAATCTCAAAACTCCAGCTCTTCCAAGTCAAGGGGCAACGTTGGCCGAGTCACAAGACAAGTTTAAGTTGTTTTGTTGAGCCATTCGGATAGGCTGGTAATTGTGCATTGATAATTCAATTGTTCGATGTCAAAACGCATGTTTCTCACCTGTGAGACATATCATTTGATCGAATTTTCTCGCGGTGTGGCATTGCGATCTCTACGGCGCCACTACGACCCTCAAGACACGTTCTCTACTGCTAGATCAGTCTGAAGCCTACAGAAAGCAAGTCTCATTTCTCTGTATCCTTGTCTTGAGTTTCTGTAGGAGATTTGCGACGTCGTGGGACTTGGCCCAAATATTGTCAACTGAGGTCTCCCAGTGCTTCTGACCGCCTGAGAAGGAGGCTATCAAGGTGGCCTAGTGAACATACCTGATTTTGAAGCTCAGGCTTGTGCATGTCAATCAAGGTACCAGACATCAGTACCCGAAACCAGATGCATTCAACGGAGAAACATTAATCTAAACTTATACATATCCAAGATCTGTTCAACTGGCGTTGTATCTCGATATCTATTCACTTGGTACTCTTCCACGGCATTGCCTCGAATCACTCCAAAAGCGTACGGCCATTTTTGCAGTGCTCGCACTCAGATTTCATCAGACCAAGAAGACTGTAGTTCAGCTGCACTATAACAACGCTCAGAAAGAGCTATTCGCCATGTATACTTCTGGAGAAATAGCCTTGATTGTCATCGGAAGCTTCGCAATACTGACCTCGGTCTTGTGGACTGCACTTTTTGCTCATGCGATTGTCTCATATAATCAGGAATATCGATCAGAAAACAACAAGCTCTCATTTTCTGAGTTCGCCGCCGCCTGTTGCCTGGTGTTCTTTGGATTTCTCATCCTAACGCCGCCGATACTGGCCTACAGCATTGTGGTTCTTTGTCTGGCAATTGCCGCTATCATCCCTGGCTTTCTCTTCAGAGCTTTTGTCGAACCCGTCTGCGGTCCTTTTGCTTGCAGCAAAACCGCAAACGTGGTCGACATCTTGGATATCGCCTCCTATCCTTGCCTTTATGTCCTCCAGTACTGGAAGGTCTACAGTATGTGGCTTGTCGGAGACGAGTGGAAGGAACCAACACTTGCAAAAGCTCCAACGCCGAAGATCGAGGGCTCAGAGAAGGCAATCGAAAGTCAAAGCGGCGAGCCAAACTCCAAGTGACCGAGGTAAGCAGGACGATCTTCTCCGACGGTGTCTCTGGCGCTAGGCTAACAACACTCAGGAAACGAGTCTTGCCGACGCATATGCAATCCGTTGTGGTGCACTTGTATCATGTTAAGTGTCTAAAAAGGGTACGATGAGATTCAATTCGACATTGGCGATCGAAGATCCTTTAAGGCAGATCTTACAGACACGTCACCTTTCAGTATGAAGTCGTCCTGCCTTAGGGTATGAACACGAACGCAGGTCCATTTCAATTAGTTCAAGTATCGATGTCTCCCTAGTCAGTTGATTTCGAGTCTGCCAATAACAACAGTAGTTCACCTTCTTTTCTTGTGTTAATTACCTGGGTGATGAGTGTCGTTCAATCCGCCTTGATCCTGAATCATTCAGGTTTCCACATTGCCACGCAGCCAAGATGCCATGGTTTCCCCATCGCGGACGGAACTGCATATGATTTATTTCTCCGTCATGCTGAAGGAATTTATCTCTCCAGACCCTCGCCGGCGTTGCTACCCCAAGGCGGAACTCGGCTTCGCCCCTGTCATCTAATTCGCCTTGGCTACCTTTCAAAGTCAAGCCAAGCAATTGGCATTCTCAGTTTCCAAACATTCCAACTAATTTCTCATCTGAATACTTGTCACACGGTTGGTCTTTCTTAGCTATAGGGTGCGCTCGTGGTATCTGCGCGACATGTCCAGCCATAGGTCTACTCGTGAACCTAGTAGCCGACTTGCATCACAGTTCGATGGACTCAATGGGAATACCGCATTACGGTTCGTATTTGTGAGCCGAAATTTGAGTAGAGTACGCAAAGCTCCATCATCATCCTCAGGTAAAGTATTTGGCTGACTCAAAGAACTGCCACCTCAGCTAGATTCGAAGTGAATGAGTGTTGTATTTTCTCATCTTCACTCTGGAATTTGCATACTCAACGTCAACTTCGTGAAGCAGCTTCTAGTTACAATAATTTCTTTCAACAAGGACTATACACTGTGTGCCATAGCCACTTCTAGCTAATTTTGACTCCATAAATTGGCCGTAGTAGATCCCAGCATGGAAGCAAACGCGGATCGTAGACCATCGAGCGGGCAAGTCCATTATGCTGTCACATAGTTCGCCTCCTTCAATTGGTGGGACTATAATGAGCACCCAGTGTTAGAAAGCCAAGGCAGTGAGTTGTTTTCAGTTCGGACCCCATTTCTGCGCCAACTACGGTGAATTCCGGGTCCCAAGGCTTCGAAAAAGGAAGCTCTGGAGATTATCCAAGGATTCTGTCAGCCATTAAGATTTTCCGCGACTCAAAGTCATTGTATATTAATGAACCCTTGGTTCATACCACATGTGTGGATCATTCCTACCTGAGGTACGTCACATTGCTCAATGCGAGCCCCCTCATACAGCTCCCTCTCTAGGCGTCGAGACTAAATGGTTTCTGTACTGAAATTCTTTATATAATGTCCCCGCTGCATTCATCATGGGGACGAGAGTTCTACATCCCAATCTCGAATTCCTATATCTTCAAGATTTGCTCGTTAGTTCCATTCAACAATACTTAGAGCAATGCTCAGCAAGATCGTAGTCCTCACCGGCACCCTGCTCGGGGCTCTTCCCATGACTTTGGCATGCTTGGGTTATGAAGGCGGTTTGCCCAAGCCCACTTCCAACAAACAAATATCTGCTCCCATCTATGTCAAATCTGGCGAGGTGTTTGACGGCGGTTGGGCCAAGTATGATAGAAACCCCACCTCATGCAGAGAGCAGGTGGAAGGAGGTATGGTTGGGAAACTCATCCGTTCAACTCAGTCTTCCTGCCTTACGTTGCGGCATGCGTAATCGTACTTACAATTATAAAACAACCTTAGGTGAGAAAGACACAGCGTTCGTTTTGCAGAAGGGTGCCACTCTGCGAAACGTCATCATTGGAAAGACGGCCGGAGAGGGTGTGTACTGCCTAGGAGGGGGCTGCAACATCGAATTCGTCTGGTTCGAAGATGTTTGCGAGGACGCCATCTCCATCGTGAGTCCTCGACCGGTATTTTCTGCACGTTCTGAATTGCTAAGCCACATGAATCCTTCAGAAGAATGACAAAGCTGGTGACGTTACCTGGATTGTTGGGGGAGGAGCCTACCATGCAGCCGACAAGATCATCCAGCATAATGGCTGTGGTCGTGTGAACGTGAGTTGCCATTTACCCATGCAAATTCGCCGTTGACTAATTTTCAAAAGATCATCAACTTCTATGCAAATGATTACGGAAAAGTCTATCGCTCATGCGGAACAGTAAGCCATCTCACCTCCAGCTTCGTAAGAGTTTAGCATAAAGCTCACAACATGATAATAGTGCGAGAAGTGCGCCCGTGAAGTTTATATTGAGGGCGTGACTGCCCGTAATGGAGGTGAGGTTGCTGGAATCACCAAGGCCAATGGTGACAAAGCAACTCTAGTAAACGTCTGCACCGATGCCAAAACCCCTTGCCAGAACTACAGTGGTCCTGGCGTCAAGGACGGCCCTTGCTGAGTGAGCAATTGAGCCTCGTTCTGTGCATATTGTCTTACATTCAGCATCCCTAGTATTACAGTGGAGGATCTTGAGGTTCTTCTTCCATTTCCAAAAACTGCGAGTCGCAATTGTAGACGGGATGGCATACGAGACTACCTCATCCACTCATTGGAATTTATCTAAATCATCCGGGTCAAAATCACGATCATCATCAGTGCAACGTGCATTTCTGCCTACATTAATACTGCATTGCCGGTCCCTAGAATCATGAGAGGGTCTCGAGCCATAGAGCATTGCCCCAATCAACTAGTTACTGGGGCTTCAAGAATTAAGATGGCCAATTTTTTAGGTTCGTGCATATTAGCCCTTCTTGTCATGCTGCACTGGAAGTAGCTCAGCACCCCGCCAATGTTCAATAGTAGCTGAGCAGGCAGTTCTGTCATGCTACACCTCCCTAGCGATTTCATAGTAGTTGTCTCGATGTGGTATTGGCTATGTAATTAGCTTCTAGGTACAAGTCATTCTGAGGCCGTCGTGTAAAGATCGACGAGACCAATCCACGCCAATTCCCACCATGTGACCATGCTACCGTGTCTTCTGCTCCTTACGCCACGACCAATGATAAGGGCTGTGATGACGAGGTTTATCTGATATAGATCAATCCCGTGGATTCCGGTAGATCCAATATCAACAGAATGCGGGGAAAATCAACTTAGATACGGCTTGTGGATAAGCGTTGCCGCTCCGAGTGGTTGGCATTACCGGGTAATGCTTAGCCGCAAAAGCCACACCTCAGACTCACCGAGCGGGTAATGCCCAACCGCGATACAGGTCTCCAGGAGGTCAACTCCAAGGTCAGTAAAAAGATAGAACAACCCTGCTGAAATGTTGCACTTCCGCGGAAGTGAGAATGTTGGTTAGTCTGATTGATCGGCGACTGGGAGCTGAAGATAGGGATGTCTCGAAAGATGGCACTTGTTGGAGTTTTGGTGTTCTGAATGGGAAGCATCCGCTCGAGCGTTCCTCTGTCTTCGATAGGCCTAATCAGTGCCGGATCCGTGAGAAGGAATGTTCACGATATATAAGAGCCAGCTGCCTCAAAGTCAACAGAAGATGTTTACTCCAAGGCATCATCACTACCGGAAGTCAAACTTTAGGAAACAGTTTCTCATCCATTGATTACTGCAAGTAAATATCCGTTCTTACTTAAAGATTAATAACAAGTTAACTCAGTCACAGTATCGATTCACGCTTAAAATGGTCCAAT